CAAATAAAGACACCAATAAATGGAGAATCTTACACTGAAGGTGATATGGGCACTGTAGCTGGTTGATATATGAATGCTTTTCGAAGAGCCAGAATGCATCACGCAGGTTCGCTGGAATACAGCAGCGATCCTCTGGCTCTATACCTTGGCAATGTTCAAGTCTCTTCATAATAATTTCTCCATAGACGGTTGTGTGGCGAGGGAGGGAGGGGCTGGAACCAACCCACCTTTGACGCCGGTACAGAACAAGAAAAGGCAGGCGGGAGAAGGCAGAACGTTTAACACTAACTGATAGCAAAACAGGCACGAAGAAATGGAGCATCCTACATTGAAGTTGAGATAGACCTGATGGAAAGATTATCCATGAATGCTTTTTCCAAGTGCAAGAACGCATCCCACAGGCTCGCCGGAATACAGCTAATGAATCTTTGGCTCTTAGCTCTGACACTTTTATTGTCGTTACTACGAATCCTTTATAAACGGTTACTTAGCGAAGGTGGTAGGAGCTGAGGGTGAAGGAGATGGGAGCTGAAGTCTTCCGACTTCACTGAGATAAACGCACGCACGCAACACCAATAAAAGTGGGATAGCGGAGCCAATACATCAGCTGCCGCAACACATACATGAAACTAGAAAGGTTCTTGTAGTACATCGTATCCAAACCAATGAGCATTCGTATTCTTAACGGAACGGCATTATTGATGCGCATGTCATTGAATCCCCCGTTTTCATGAGTTGCCAAAACATGCCCTCCAATTCTTCATCGTTCGCCAGGAAGCACTTGATGGCCATCATCGTGCCGTCGCCTCCCAATTTTTCACCATTTGCAACTGATGGGGGGAATTTTAAAGAACGCAAAATGGTTAAGAACTAAATTCATATATTCTCGATTTGAGCGAGTTGACAGACACATACCAGAAAAAAGGAACATATTTTAGCGCTTTCGCACAAACGGTTCTCAAGATATTTAGTCCCGTAACAGCCTCCCAAAGGAAAAAATGACCCTGTTGTTCCAACGGTTACATTTGTCCCTAATTGAGTTAGAAAAGAGTTCTTGGTCTCAAATGAAAGCTGAGACAAAGCTGAGTCTGAATGCACTGCTGTGCTTTTTTGGCAGTTAAATTACAAAGAAGCTATTAACTTTGAAACTTCCAACAAATTTCCAAGTTTTCAATGAAAATTTCGAACAATTGGAGAACATGGTAACACAAAGTGGATCAGTGCCAGGCAGTTCCAAAGTTACTGACGTAACGCGAGACTGAAAAGGAATTCATATCTACATTAAATATAGTTCGATCCAGAAATTATACTTCCACAGTTCCACATAGGGCATGATACTTATACCTGTCAAAGTTTTCTTATTTCTCCCATGGATGAAAAAGAGTAAGGCCATTCATGGCGTATTATTGAAGTAACGGTTTGGAAAACAGTTTCCTTCTGTTGGTTCCCATCTAATTATGTCTTGTTTGGCTTGACCTGAAGCTTCCATATTTTCAGAAAGGAAAGTTTAGAGCATCACCTTTCTTTAGGTCAAATGACATTTGTTGCTGCTCAAAAATGTATTATCTAGGAGAGTTTTCCAGCGTTACTGAAGTAAAGAACTGATATAAATAAATAAAAAAAACAGAAGGGTTCTATCTGAGGAATGGAGCGAGATTAGCGGTTGGAGTCATGTGTGCGAACAGAACACGTTGGGTCCTAATAACCCATTAAGTTTAGGCTTCACTTTTTGAGTGAATACATTTTTTTTGTAGAAATTATACTATAACAAAACTTTTTTCAATAATCATGGCGCTAACGATGAAGCAGCGCTGAGAAATTGTTTTCCCTTGTACCCATGAGCTTGATCCCAAAATGTATTTGCCTGCGGTTGCAAAACACGTTGGCTGCTCGAAATCGACGGTGCATCTCTAGGTCGAAAAGTTCAAAAGACTGGCGGTGTGACGGACGATCAATTGATATTCTAGCACAATCAGCTCATCCTCCCTTCCCCTGGTCTTCCGTTTTATTCCCCTTTCCAATTCATCCGCCACGCAGTCGGTCTTTTAGATTTTTTTGACCCAGTGATGCACCGTCGACTTCGAGCGGCCATATACGATATTTTTGTAAATTATTTTTTAAAATACAATATTACTTTCAATTACTCTGGAACTGCCCTAGTTGCCAATCACAATGAAATCGGTCTTCATTTTAATTACTCTCTTTTCTTTTAAACAATGCACATCAAATTTGTAAAATCCAATTTTGTCATTTTCCACTCACTTCTGCAGCTTCTGTTTCCTATTTCAAACGAGATAGAAACTGGAAACGTGTGCCACATAAAAGCTGCCTACAAGATCTTCTTGTTTCTGTACGACTTCTGGAGGGACTGACTTAAGGATTAAATACCTCAAGAACCGTTTGTGGGAGAGCTCTGAAATTGGGGCGGTTTTCATCATGCATGAATTATCTCAAGCAAATTGCCCTCTCACTCGCAACAACGCTCTCATTCGTAACAACGATTTGTTAACTTGAGCTGGAATGTCTCGTGGGCAGTCGGGATCTACTGATGAAAAATTTATTGACTGAATATTAAAAGATATCAGTTTTAGTTTTCATTTTACCTATCAGCAGCAGAGACATTGACCTACCTATTCAGGGAAGTTATTTAGATTGATATTTTTAGGGGTTTCAATTGTCAACATTTTCATCGATAACTAAAAATGTTTGGCTCAAGAGATATTGTTATGCCGTTTTTGAGTTCCCCATGTATTTGCCAGTGAATAGACACTTTAATGAAGGCTCTAGCATGAGTAGTTATTGAGTTACAGGGATATCAAAATTTGAGGTTACTTACATTTTGACCACCCTGTAGCGCTAGACTTGTTAACCAGATGAGGCTGAAATTCGATATTTCTGGGTATTGTGGCATTAAGCCTGAATACTAATTTGCAATAAAATTGGATATGGTAGGGTGTTTATTTGCGATAATTGTGGGCGATTTCCCATGGAATGACTCATTCACCACCCTCGAGATGGTAGTCCCCCAATCTTCCTTCATTGATGCACCTGGATGAAGGTTCCTCTATGGTTTTTCACGATGCCTATTATGCGTAATTTTTCTGTACTTGGAAATCCATGATGGTCACAGTTTTTACCACATGCATGATGATACGAGGGGTGTTTGAAAAGTAATGCCCCTTTAGGAATTACTTATTTCAAACCTTAGAAAAATAAAATTTGACACTGATGGAGGTGACACAGAGGAACAATTTTCCGATTTCTTATTTAATCTCCATTTGCAGCAGCACATTTGCGCCACCTCTTTACCCAACGTTCGAATCCTTTTTGTAAAAATCCGCATATTTTTTCTCCAACCACTCCTTTACAGTGACAGTTAATTTCATATTCACTATCAAATCGTCTTCCGTGCAAACGATCCTTCATTATCCCAAATAAGTGAAAATCACCTGGGGCGTGGAAGACAATTTGATGATGCGAATGAAAATACGGCTACTGTAAAGGAATGGTTGAAGATGTAGAATTCCACAAATGAGGATTTGAACGCTGAGTTCAGAGCCGGCGCAAATGTGTAGCTACATATGGAGATTAAACTGAAAACTACGCAATAGATCCTCTGTCACCTCTACCAATGTGTCAAATCTTTTTCCCCCTAATATTTGAAATAAACAGGTTACTCCCAAAACAGCATCACTTTTCAAACACACCGGTTGTATGCGGCGCTGAAAAGTCCCCAACTGGAATATTGCATCCAGTTTTGGAGGCCTAGAAATAAGGGCGATCTGTTGGCGCTCGAGGGTGGTGAATGAGTCATTCCATGGGAAATCGCCCACAATTATCGCAAATAAACACCCTACCATATCCAATTTTATTGCAAATTAGTATTCAGGCTTAATGCCACAATACCCAGAAATATCGAATTTCAGCCTCATCTGGTTAACAAGTCTAGCGCTACAGGGTGGTCAAAATGTAAGTAACCTCAAATTTTGATATCCCTGTAACTCAATAACTACTCATGCTAGAGCCTTCATTAAGGTATCTATTCACTGGCAAATACATGGGGAACTCAAAAACGGCATAACAATATCTCTTGAGCCAAACATTTTTAGTTATCGATGAAAATGTTGACAATTGAAACCCCTAAAAATATCAATCTAAATAACTTCCCTGAATAGGTAGGTCAATGTCTCTGCTGCTGATAGGTAAAATGAAAACTAAAACTGATATCTTTTANATTGGTATCAGTGTCTGAATCTCCTGTTCTTTAATGCATGATACATTATTGCTCTGAGTTAATGAGATAAGCTTAGATTGAAACGGTGGTTAACAGTGGCAGATCAATTTGGAGGGGTATGGAGATATACAAGCATCCCTGAATTAACAGGATGGTGCCCAGCATGTGTATCATGCTTCTGGAGGCATTATCTTCTCTGAACTAGTCGAGATGGTTCGAGGAACTCCAGATAGACCTAACGTTCCACGACCGCACTGAATTGGTTCATGAAAATCGAAACAATCAGTCTAACATTACATATCCTCTCTGAAATTGCTTCTAAGTCTGAACAAGCTTACAATAACTGTTACGGGTCCTCAACGAGATGTCTCGAAGACCCTGTGATGGAACCTTACAAGTGTAATTGACGCAATAAGTCGATGACTGAGTTTCCTTCATCAGTGAACGAAAAAAAGGTAGGCCTAGATCTGACCTGAAGACATGTACGTTTTTTAGCAGAACCGACAGATAATTCTGCTAAATAAATTTAAAAAAAATTGAAATAAAAAATGTCGAAAAACCAAAATGTCCCAAAGGAAAATCGTCGCTGTGGCAGGATGTCTCCGATGAGAAAAATTGCTAAATATTCATAAATATTCAATACGATGTCGGCAGACGAACCTAAAGGTAAGCGTTGCCAAGTGAAATTGTGAAAATTGCAAACATTATTACCGATGCTCGGATATTCCTCTTCGTTTCCTTCAGCTCCAGTCGTAGGGATTCTGTGATGGCAGTCACGGCAAATTTCGTTACGTTATAATGCTTGGGGATCGGCTCAAAAACCCGATGACCGCCGATGCTGTAAACATGAACATGGTCTTTCTCAGAAATGTGAATCATGGTACATAGGAATCTAAAAAGCAGTTTCAATGTGAAAGAGAAAAGATCAGGCTCAATCGTGATGACTCTCTGTCATCACTCGACTTATTATTATCTTATTACTTACTATTGTCACCACGGACTCCGAAATCACCTTGAAAAAAGACTTAACTTGAATCACATCAAGTACTACTGAAAGTAATTTTAACATCTATCGAGTCGTTAGGCTAATACGACGCAACAATAAGGAATATCGCATCTAATGAACGTTTGGGATTTTCATGCTTCTACTAATATTTTACTAATGTTTTGGTAATCTAAAGGGTAAAGACATTTCACAAGAATTACGGCAAAAAGTTGTCTGCAGTATTCTGTGGCATATGTTTTCTCATCATTTCATTTTTTGATGCAGTTCTTGAGATACAGCTGGAAAGAGGAAGTCGAGCGATCATACACAGCTCTGTATGGCAGAAGGTACGTTTCCCAAATTGAACAAATAACGAATTGAAGCATGGGGTTATGTAAGAATGATAGAATTATCACTCATCACATCGCTCATTAATCACAATGACTTCGCCACGAAATGCATGGTTTGCAATGAACTTCATGCGGCTATTCATAGAAAAATCGTTAGAATCGATGCTGAATTTGGATGACACCGTTGACACCGCTCAAAGAGGGAAATATTCATTTGCCTTTTGATGAATCCTGAAGCGAGTATATCGCAAATGCAGGAACATTAAAAAAAAAAGAAAATTAATAATAATAGATAATTCATTTCATAATTTATATTTGATACTATCGGAAGCCAATCTTCCACGCAGATCTTGGACGATGATACCACATTCGAGCGGCTATTCAAAGAAAAAGCATCAAAATTGCTATGCCTTGCTTCATTAGCGAAATCTCAAGAATCGGTACACCTAATCGGCTGACATATTTCTGCAGAAAACGCATTACATGATTAATGACTGGTGACGCTATCAAAAAATGATAATAATTGGTTTACACTTCATAATTCCTTTTTAAATACATTATATAAAATTCCAGTGTTAACTGGGACACCGAACTTGGCAAGGTGTTCTATTCCTTTTGGCAAGTATGTGTCGAAGTGTTCTTTATTTTCAAACCTGCAGATGTTGATGATGTGTCCCTCGTCGCAATCCCTCACCTTCAAGGATTCCACTGTCTTCTTCGAACAGTAGCAATAAGCAATAACGTTCAAATCGAACAGTTTCCTCCACTCCTTCCGATCTCCATCTGCGTCGAAGGCAAGTGGTTTTGACATCCGCATATACTGTCATTATTCTGTACATCAAAGAAAAAAAAGGAACTAATCAAATCCTTACCCGTTATCTTCACTGGTCCACACAAAGCGGCATTGTTGATGCATACGTCAATGCCTCCCCATGTTTCCATGATTTGAGAAAACATTGCATCCACGTCCTCATCGTTGGTCAGGTCGCACTTTATGGCCATCATTGAGCCGTCATCTCCCAATTCCTCCACCATTTGCTAAGAAAAAGGAAAAATTTGTTGAACATTATTAAGCTAAATGCTCGATGCATACATTCTTCACCGAAGTTAGACGAGAGACACGAACCTGGATGCGATCGGCCCGCCTTGCGCATGCAGCGACCTTCATGCCAGCTTTAGCCAATTTAAACGCGGTTGCTGCACCGATCCCCGAACTCGCACCTGTCACCAGTGCGACTTTGCCCTTCCATCGCTCCATGAGTCAAGTATCTACTATTGTAGAATTTCTCTCGGGTATTGTCTGTACATTTCGGATATTTGAGATGAATCATTAAAAATCATAGAAAACATGAATTCACAGACTAATATCAAAGGAATTTCATGGAAAATGAAATGGGTCGATTTCAAACTTTTACCTCTTTGCTTATTGCCAAGAGTCAAAGAGATGGAGCGCAAGATCGCTGAATATCTCCAACGAGCCCTTGACTCAATATCTTTTCAATAGTAACATTTTGTCGCAACAATATTAACTAAAATGAAGTAACGGAAGATGACCCTTCCACTCTATACCGAAGATAAGATGCATCACATTCTCATGCGTTGAATCGTACTTCAATCTATTCAGGGGAGAAAACGTGATTAAGAACAACCGCATGAGTGCATGGAGGGAGAATGAATTTCACCACGAAATGAACGAACTATCATCATATACGAGCATATGACTTATATTTCACTTTTAGAAGAAACTTCAATTAGCAAATTTAACACCACGAAAGGAAGCATCATATCATCATCACTAGTAGCATCAGGAAGCAGAGTTTTTTTTATCCATCTTTCGGCTGCCGCCGCATTTCTCTCTAGGCAGAGAGAAACATGGAGAAGTGCATGTTAAATCCATTATTGTTGATGTGTCCCTCGTCGCAGTCTACTTTCAAGTGATTCCACTGGCTCCTTTGCATAGTACCAATATGCAATCACGTTCAAACCTACATTCCTTCAGTCCATCTACATGAAAGATATGCAAATTAAAGCATATAGGGATTATTATGCCACTGTAACATATCCATAACGGAAGGAAGAGTGAGGTAACAATTTGTATCCGTACCAATTAGATTCGCTGTCCTATTTGAACAGCATTATTGATGCATACGTCAATGCCTCTTCAAGTTTCCATGATTTGAGAGAACGTAAAATCCGCTTTTTCATCATTGGTCATCTTATGCTTGATGGTCATCACCTCACGAAAAGGAAAATCGTAACGAATACAAAAGCATCAATCAATGCATGAATTCTGCATGAAGGAAATTTTGCATGATGAAGAAAAAAGTACCTGGATGAAGTCGACCTTCCTGGCACATGCACCGACCTTCAAGACTGGCTTAGCCAACTTCATGGCAATCGCAGCGCCAATCCCTCGATTCCAAACTGTCAACCTATGTAGCCCTTCCACCGTTCCATGACCTTAAACGCTATGGGATAATTCACTCTGGTATGAGATGCATATACAGGCCATATAATGTGAAATACATCATCATACCAGCGTAAGCAGCAATTCATCGAAACATATCGAAAAGGGCACCAAGATCTGCTGAACTTCATTGCAGATTAAATAGATCTAATGATTCACTTTTCCCTAATGCTTTCCTTATTGAGCATCATGCAGGTTTGCATGAACACAACCGCCGAGCATTTGGCTATTTTAATGATTTTCAAGTTTTACCCCCATATATGTCCACCAGAAGGAAAAATGGGGAGACAAAACTTACGTTTCACTTGGTGCGGAGAGAAATTCGTATATACAGGGTGGGCCAAAAATAGCAAAGCTGTCATTCTTGGTGAGTCGTTCAACTCTTTGTAGGCTGCCAATAATTATTAAATTGGTAAGCTTATAGGGTGAAACAATTGGGGTTTGTATACCAAATTTCAGTCATCTGGCTTTAAAATTGCAGGAGTTCTAATTATTTTCTGATGACCAACAACAAAATGTGCTGTCGAAAATATCGATATAATCCTGAGGTCGGGATGAAAAGGATGTAGTGAAAAAAGTCAGAAAATGAATACATTTTGTGGGTCTTCTTAAATTAAAAGAAGAAAAATCTGTCCGCAAAATGAAGCATGTAACCCGTATAGTGCCTCTGCCGATTAGAGCGACGTTTTGAATTTCATTGAAAAAATCCAGTGTCGAAGAGCTAATGATTAAAGAGTTAAGAAATTTTTCTAGTCCGAGCGTTCGATCGTGTTCCTTCTTGAACTTTGGGCATTTTAGAGCCAGCTCTTCGACTCTGGCATTTTGAAGCGATATCTCTAGCGCTGCTGTAAGCGACTCTGGCACTATAAGGGTTAAGCGACTTTCGAAAGTCATTTTCCTCCTATCTTGACTATTTTACAGATTTCATTTCAAAAGCAAATAGCATTCCCAACAAAAATAAATAAATAAGGTAATCAAAGCTTGATGAGTAGCAAAATTAATAGGAAATTTTCCCCTGGACAAAGTGGCGCTCATTGGTGTTTACTATTGGTATACCCAACATAACATGTAGGTCTTCTCGAAACGTATGCTGTAACATTCGCTGTGGTACATGAACACACAGAACTTCACAGCATGCACTTTCAGCAAATCTTCCTGAATCCATGGATGCTCTTGAAAGAGCATCCGAATTTGCTGCCATTATCATGCCAGAGCGTATACTGAAATCGAAAAAGACATATGCGCCAAAGGAAGTTTCGTTACTATTCTGAAATGCCAAATTTATTGCAGCCAGTACTGAGTTGCATAACTTCATTTTTCAAATTCCATTTCATTCCAGGACCGCAAAAGGTTAATGAAATCTGGAAAAGAAATTCCTGATGTAGTCAATAAAAACGGAGACAAAATATAACTTTCTGTTCCCCTAAGGCATAAGATGTCTTCACTGAAAATGCTAGCTTCATTTTATTCTTCTATCAAGCCAATTTGATATTTTGCCATTCACTGAATATACTGTATAAGCATATTATGAGGACTCCAGCCAGGTATCCCAGGTTTGCCAAAATTGAGTTGGAGTTATGTCGGATTCATCACTGCTTCGGAGGGGAGGGGAGAGGGGAGAAGGTTAGTTGAGAAATGGGGAAAGCTTTCGAAAAATAATAATACTTCATAATCCATATATATAATAAGCTAATGTATGTTTGTAAGCTGCGTTGCGACGATATGCTAATAGATATCCTGGCAAGTTATGCATCATTTGAAAGC